CCTGCTTCCGACGAAATTCCCGTAGTCCTTTGTATTTGGATATAACTAACATCCTAAATTTCAGAAAACTCCCTTTCCCCATATTTTACAATTTCGCCCGAACCCTCCCTGCTTCTGACGAAAATCCCGTAGTCCTTTGTATCTGGATATAAATCCTATCGCATTTTTCTAAAGTCCCTCCTTCGTATTTTTCAATTTCAGTCGACCCATTTTTGCTTCCGACGAAAAATCCCGTAGTCCTTTCTATGTGGTTATAATTCCATCCTATTTTGTTACCAATCCCTCCTCCGTATTTTCCAATTTTTGGCTCATCCTTGCTTCTGAAGATAACTTTGGTAGTCCTATCTGCTTGGATATAATTTATGTCGTATTTTTCTAAGAAGTCCCTCCTCCATATTTTATAATTTCACTCGACTCAACATTGCTTCCGATATTAAATCCTGTAGTCGTTTTGACAAAAGTCACTACTCCGTCATCCCTGCTTTCCGACGATACCTCCCGTAGTCTTACTGTCAGGATATAGTTCCTAACTTGACTTTCCCTTCTCCGTATTTTACAATATTTCCTGACGCCTCTCCGTTTCTTATGACCGTCCCCGTATTATTACGTATTTTTCACGGAAAAATACTCTTTCGTCATTTTTCTCCATTGAATATCTTCCGTGGATTCATCCATGTACCTATCCCACTCTGGTCCTAGTGCTACAATTCTTTGCTTCATGTTTCTTCTGCATTATATTTTACATGCCCTAGTTTTTTCAATCGGAAAGATTTCTTCGTATTTTAATTTTAATTTAATTTAATTTATTTTATTTTATTTTAGTTTAGTTTATTTATTTTTATTTTATTTTATTTTATTTTATTTTATTTATTTATTTTTTATGTATTTTATTTATTTTTTAATTTTATTATCTTTTATTTTAATTTACAAGGAATTATACGCTAATCCTGGTTTGTTTTTGTTTTTTGTTTTTTGTTTCTCGTTTTTATTTGGCTCCGTCGTATTATCAGGTACGTACTTATCTGCTAATTTTTTGTATGTGGTCTGAATTTTTTGGAACCTTTATTTAAGTGCAGTTATTTACAATATTTTACAATATTTTACATCACCGCTTTCTCATTCTGTTTGTTTCGTATTTGTCCTCGTTCTCCAGGAATTTGATGAATACATTCCGTACGTCTTTGTCTTTGCAATTCTTGATATACGGCAGAATGGCCGTTCGAATAACCTGCCATGGGAATTCCAGCAGTTTGAGCTCCATAACTTGCAACTTTAAAACCGTTGTTATGTCCTCTCGTGAATACGTATTTGCTACGATTTTGTGAAGTGTGCCGATGATCGTGAGCTTTTTGGTGTTGATCGAGCCCACGGTCCTGAATTGACGGATAGACCTAAGAGAGAGAGAGAGAGAGAGAGAGCTCAACAACCCTTCCTGGAGTGATGTCTCATTCTTAAGTTTATGCGTGCACTTCAGGAGGGGTTTATCTTTAATTTTCGTTACCGTTGTTTCCTGATAATTCCATTTTATGCTGCAAATTTCAGCCGTAGTTTCCAACTTCAGGGATGGGTGATAGCAACTTCCAAATGATCGAAAGCATGTCATTGCTTCTTCTTCCCTTCCTTTTTCTGCTATTGTGATCATCATTACATCATCTACGAATCGCATGCCATGTATCAGTCGTCTGTCCAACCCAATTCCCCTTATCCAATTGTGTTCATCATATGCACATACTAGGTTTGCGATTGGTGGACTAGATGCTTTGCCCATTGGTACCCCTTTGATTTGTCGAAGGAGAATTCCTTGAACCTTGAAATAGGCATTGCTTATGTCGTAGTATAGTAGATCAATTAATAACTCGATTTTAATCGTTCTCCATCCATATGTGCTATTTGCTTTTCCGAAGTTGATGTACTTTCCCCGTATTTTGTAGCATAAGTGGGTTTTCCTCTTTCCTTTGGCTATCTCGATTATCCATTGCATAGCTCGCATGATATGTGTGTGGTCCAAATTCGAAAACATGTCTTTCATATCGTATGTTGCACAAATCAACGTAGCGTTTTGTCCATATATCTCCATTGCAGTTTTGTTGCATTCCTCCAATCTTGGTACAAGTTGATTAGTTTCGTGCAGATCAAATCTCAGCTTGTAGCTAAAGCATAAGAAATTTATAGATCTCGACAAAATTTTCGATGCGTACCTTGATGGTTCATTATAAGTTGGCACTATCGGTTTTCTTCTGGTTATGTCTTCGTTCTTTGGGATTGTGTACGCATTTCCATACGTTCCGTTGTCAACCCAGTCGGCTATCCTCTTTAATCCACATGCTTCATACGTGTTCCTAGACAATTTTAATACCTCATTCTCAGTTTGCTGAACTACCTCGTAATATGGTGACTAAAAAAAAAAATTACTGGTCTTTTTGTACCATGTTTTCGGGCATTCAATGAATGTTTCCCCCGGATTTCTGTCAAGAGGTGACGGAATGAAATCTTTTAATTTAATCTTGATTCTCCATACATCTGTGATGTCCAGTCCAGTCCTCACTTCTTTAATCTTCGTGTTGATGCATTCAGATACTTGAGCGGGTTTTATATCCAAGTACCTCAAACACTGAGGTATCGTGTTAATAGTTCTTTGTATGATTTTTCGTACTTCGCTTTTTCCCACCCTGTCGTTCGTTTGTGACACATTTTTTACATTCCACAGCAGTTCATTCTTCTCAATCGCACTCAATCGACATGCCACATGTCCATCAATTTTAGCCAATTCACTCGTGTCGCAAAGACAATTCGGGGTTTTCTCCACAACTTTACTGTGATTGTGCAAAATTTTCCCTACTGTCCTTTCTTTTTGAAACAAAACTCTCATACGTGCAATTTGATCTTCCGCCAGATTTTGATTTATCACATTTTCTCTTATTGCTGTTGCTGCTGCTTTCTTTACATGTCTTAGATTTATTCTTGCTGCGTATGGAATTTTGAACATGATACTTCGTTTTATGTTGAATGAGAATTTCTTCTTTGATATTCTTGTGAAAATACCTTTAATCGTGCCACTCTGTTTCTTTCCGGTAATTGATCCAGCTTTCGACAAGAGTACCAAAATTTCATCAAGTGATAGTTTGTATAATTCCTTCCTTTTCCATGGCGCCCTCAAACAATTAATCAACATATTCTTGTGTCTGTTCGTGGCTGGTCCAGTGTATACTAATTGGATAACATGAAATTTACAACCTCGCTGAATTTTCTGCCTGCATTCTTTTAGCATGAATTTCCCACCCTCAATTTCGATAATAGTGGAGTCATAGGTACGTTTGATAACTTTCCACTTTTCATGCCACATTCCTCCAGGTTTACTTTCAACAGTTGCTTTTGGTTGTAATATCCGTGTCAAGTTCATTGTGTACGCACTTCTTAAAGTTTTGAATAGTATCGGAATATTTTGATTAATAATCCTGAGTTTACCTTTCCTTCTTTGTCTCCGCTGATTCTTTGCCTTGTTCTTTTTCTTCCCTCTTCCTCTGGTGTTCAAGTATGGGTTCAATCGTTTTATCAACATTTCCTCCATTGCGTTTGCTTCCGATTTTACCCCTGTCCATATCGGTATCAATACGTACTTCTCCCATCCGAATTTGTGTAACCAGTTATATAGTTTCCGTTGTGCCCCTCTGCCCGGATTTCGGGTTAGGTTGATATGTTTCATCCATATCCTATCTGGTTTTCTGTCGGTCCTTCCGATGTGCATATGTCTGCACCACGGTGATACTAATACATACACACTATAACTAGCTTCAAGAAGTGACTCTCGTTTCTCTTTTTGTGTTGTCCACATATCTACTATCGTTCCTGCCCATGGTATCCCCCCGTCAACAACTAGAGATATAAACAGGTGTTTGTATGCTATATTTACTTCCGTACATTTACTCATCTTGCCCGTATTAACCACAGTATTAACCTTTGTGGCTAGTCTATGTATCTGTTCCCATTTCTCGTTCGTAGTGCGGTCATCCTTCGGCCCTGCCCCATCAACCTTCCCTGGATGTCCTGGGAACTTGACGAAGTTGATGAAGAGTCCTCCTCTTCACTTGACTCTGACGCTTCATCTTCATCTTCTCCCTCCTCCTTCTCTTCGTCACTCTCTATTTCTTCATAACTTTCATCTTTCGTGCTTGATATGTCCATTCGTTCATTTTCCGGTTCAATCTGAGTCTCCTTGTCTGAGTCATGGACGAAATCCCGTCCTTGATACTCGACCAGTCCTGGGACTCTTCGCAATGCTGCTATAACTTGCGGTTTGTCCTTGCACCTGATGTTGTGCATCTTGTACAGATCCTTTAGATCCGTGTAGTGCGCTCTGACAAATTGAGTGTACGTCATTGGAATGATGCCGAAATTCATGTCCCGCTTCATCCTTCTCTTGTTCTTGCTGATCCTCCTTCTTACCTTAGTCCTCCTCTTCTTTGGTGCTGGAGGGAATGGTCGGCTTGGTGCACTGTAATTGGGTCGTCTTGCTGCCGGGATCCCGATCGTGTCCAATCCCGGATGTCCACTTGGGTTTCCCATGGATGTCGTATGCAGCGCTCCCCCAGTTGATCCTGAGGCGACCATATCCATTCCACGAAACCTTGTTTGCTGCACTGTTGATGAGACGTGGGGAATACACGTTCTCGTTGGTTCGTTGATCTTGTGTACTGCTCCTTTTACTGCCGCCATTTCAAACTTCATCAGTTTCATCTCATCCACCTCATTCCCCACCTTCGAGACTAACTTCTCCATCCTTTCTTGGTTTGTTTCTTGCGCAACTTCATTCGTAGTGTTAACGATCTGTGTTTGTTGACAGGTCCCAGCTCCTGTTGCTTTCGGAATCGCTGTCTCAAGTGCTTTGTCGATCATCTTCTGTACTTGTGCTGGTGATAAACGTCCATCATCTTTTGCGTGTCCTTTCTTTGTCGTTCTCTTCTCTTTCTCCTTCTTGTTCTCGCCCTCGTCATTTTTCGTCTTCTTCATCTCTTGTATCACCTTTGTCAAGTCTTTAATCTTCGTCAGCAATAACTCGTTTGTCTTGCATATCTTGTCGTAGTCTCTCCTCAGTGCAAAGATCTCCTCCTTCATGTCTGCCGTGAACCAGGCTCGATTTCCCGGTGGGGGGAAATCGTTTCTTCTTATCTCCCTTTGAGGTCTTGCGTATTTCTTTGGTGACTCCGATGCCGCTCTTCGTCTTCTCTGTGATCTGGATCTTGATCTTGATTTCTCCTTGCGTGGAGATCTTGATCGTCCTCTGTGTGACCGACGGTTATCCTGCGACCTTGACGGTGATGGAGATGAGTATCTACCCCGCCTTCGTTCCGGTGTGCGCGAGCGCGCCATTCCTGGAAGTACTGGAGTGTAGGAAGCTCCTTCACAGCGCCACACGTAACGTGCAATAGGGTGTTAGATCCGTAGATGTCACCAATAAATACAGATGAGTTCGACAACAAAGAAATGGATGACTAGTACACGATCCGATGAAAAGTAAAAACCAAGATTTCGAATTGCTACATGAGCACGCTAATCTCCAATGCGTCAATCTCCAAATCGCTAATCTCCACGCAATAAACTAAAGTAAATACACGATACGGAAACGACAACAACCACGGATTAGTATTAAACCAGTACACTACATGAAATAAGTAAATACTGACCGTAATGCAGTGTCGATCTTCACAGGTACCACCCGTGCGTTCAAAGCACCGTGCGTCGAGATAACACTTGCGATTTGGCCAATAGGTGCGAGGCTTTACTCTCACAGAATACACGTCCTGCCCATGGCATGCGACAACAAAAAGTCGCGATCACCCTTCTGCCTCTCTGCTCAGGTAATTTTTCCAGCCATCATCTAGGTATTTATACCGTACGCCTCCAATTCTTCCCCACCTATCCATCCTCTAGCCTGTAGTATACTCGTTCTCCATCACGTCCTTGGTCGCTGAATTCCGTCGTCACACTTTTCGCCGCTGG